ATTATTGCAGCAAATTTACATAATCAAGAAAATGATAAATATAGCTATTAGAGCAACATATTACGTCTTTTGTTGTAGAAATAGGAATTGGGACAATCCAGATTTGATGCAATTTTGATTTTTGTGTGTGTTGAATAAGCCAATCTCAAGCAGCATTTGTAAATTGCCTATACGTAGTGAGATTTACAATCGTACATTTAAAAACACAAATAAAGTTACCATTACTATTATTATAGTATCATGTTTTCAGAGTAATGCCAATAATTATTCAGACCTTAATTCTTGACTTCCTGTAGGCTTGGTAGTCATGTAAATTGTCTTCATAATGGTTCAGATAAGCATTAACATTTAAGCTTGGTAGCAATACATGTGTATTAGGCCTTTATTTGGTAGACTACAACTCCTTTTTTTGTTACTTGTTTGGTTTTGGTTAATTTATCACAATACTGATATGCATGAAAAATTACACTCTTGACTGGCTGAAAGCAGCTAGGTGCCTTTTTCATGTATCACTAGTACAAAAGTAATAACTCAAGTACAAATCTAAACTACTGGTCGGCTCAGCAACAATAAATCACACTAGAAACCAATCAGAGTGATATGAAGTGGGTTATGCTGATTGATACACAGAGTGGCTGACCAAAATAAACAAACGCTCGGATATTTTTATGTATATTGATAAACAATAACAAAATTGCATTCCCGAGTAAGATTTCAGCTGAAGGACAAATTTTGCGGATAGCATGTCAGGTTGACCATTAATGACATGATGATGTCAAGTTCACCTATTCATTTCATGTCTCCACATAGCTTGAATTTGGGAAACACTGGCACGAAATGACTCAATAATAACAATATCAATAATAAGAAAACTCGCAAGATTCTGGTGCTTTAAATCATACGATACCATCATGTGCTTGCCTGTCCATTGAACTCTGTTGTGTTTAAGTTATGTCTCTGATTATTGTTCCTGAAATCTATTATGGTGCATGACACTATCTCTATTGAACTTTCTGTTAAATAAAACCCCCAGGTCAATTGTAAATCTTATTGGGTTAAAAATTATTAGCAATGTTAAAGTAATGTTATTTCAGAGTACTACTCAACATATGATTCATTAAAATAATGCCTGTGTTCAGATCTTGTTAGGCACCTATCTTTTCCCCTAAATTCTTCCATTTACAACCCCATATCCCCCTTCCGCGACTTAATTTTTCTGTGTTCTTTTATTGAAAACATGGTCCCACAAAACCCAAATACAATAATTATAATAAATGATTTGCTCTCAACCAACTGAGAATAGAACTTTGTGCCCAAATGGACAAAGAAACCTAAACATACATTAAGACCAAATCAAGCTCCCAATGGCTCCTAGTGTAGATTAAATCATTTCCCAAATATCCAGGCCCTTCTGGAAAGTTTTTTCCTTGTGTACTGGTACGCAAAATGCCAAAAATATTCGTATGAAACACTTCCCCAGAGTTAATTTCACACCACTTGCCTTGGAAAAGACAATCTACCTACAAACTTCAGAAGTCAATTCCACTTCATTACATAAGCAAAATCATGACTAAATCTAGCAGACCACCATAGGAGATGATGCTGACATCCTTTTTAGTTCCTAAAATCCTCAGGTTACATGTGCAACCTTGGGGTGTTGGTTGTCAAAATGAGACCACCATTACAAAGTTTGCCCATTAACCCTCATCTTGAAAATGAACATTTCAGGAATATTGTATGCTAGTTATCTTGTTTTATTGATAAACCGGAACAATATTCAAAACTATCTAACTTTAACCAGACATTAGCTCTTCTAACTGAAACTCAATAAGACACCAGACACCAAAGAGCAGCTCAATTTCGTAAGCCTTACATGTACGCATTGCGGACCTATGTTTTAGTCTCTCTCTCTCTTTTTTTTTTTTCATGTGAGTCTCACTTTTACCACCAACCGACGCTCAAAGAATTTTTCTCTCGACTTGAGGCGGAGATCGTCGATAAAAGACTGATGACATAGAAAATTTATTTTACGCACGGTAAACCATTCATAAACTCGAAATCATTAAGCTTAAAAACGAATCCCATAAATTCTCGCAAGTAGTAGAGAAAAAGACGAAGTTAACTTTAAGATGCGTTGGTCGTTACCCATAGAAACTGGATTTGATTGGTAAACCATAAATTTAGCGCTGACTCTTCAAAGCACAGGAATTAAATCGGAAGATTTAGGCAAGAAAAGAAAAAGTCCCAACAAGGAATGCTAAATGTGGTCACCCATCCAAATAGAAACCTCATCCAACAAGGTTTTACTTCACCGAGAAGAACACTGAGCACGTGGCGAACAAACACATGGTCAGTTTCCATAACTGACTACTACGCGGTGTGCCGCAGGCCACCCACGTAAGAAAAAGGGAATTTTCTTAGAACCACGTCCATCTAGTCCATCATGAAAACGTGTGAATCAACAAACTAATCAACAGAAGCAAAGTATTAATTTTTTACCACAGCATACGAACGTAAGTGGAGAATACTCCAAGTTAGGTTGTGAACACACAAGCTCGAACGATTGTAGTAATATTCAGTTAAACTTGGCCGGTTCATACGCGAAAACTTGCGGCGGCTTACTGAGTTTAACAGCATCGGAGAGTGATAGTAAGACTAATTTCGCAAGAAAAAAGAGAATAAAATGTAATAGGAACCTAGCTACTGACTAAGAAGTAATTTTTACCCACAGTTAGTATTTACAATGAAACAGATTACAGACGTAAGAAATCCGAACACGTGGCGCTCTTCTTTTCCGATACCTTAGAATTAATCGAATATACGCATGAAATCTAACTTTTGTCAAGTAATTACGTCTTGAATAGTTATGATCAGGTAGGGATAACATAATTACGAAGTACACTATAATAGTTATCTTTAAGTTAACTTACTTCAAAGTTATTCAGTCAACAGCAAAATGGTTGGCCTCATTTTGTCGATGATGAAAGCGGAAGTTGCTAATCAACCGGATATTGAGGTAACATAATTCCTCGAATATTAAAGCACCAACGCTCTAGTATGCACCCACCCCCTAGACCGAAAAGTCAAAGAAGCGAAGCGCCCCCACCCCCGAATAAGCACCCCCTCCCCCTCCCTCCCTCACTTTCGAAACAGCAGGGGAACAAAGAAAACTTATTTCCATAGCCACTTTACTTCAGTACAACTTTTTAAGCTTCAACTACAGCGGAATCAGTACAGGAGAATATTTTCTTTTCCGTCACTTCAGTCATTTCAATCTCCATATTGACTTGATGTCTATGTGGACACTGTTGTATTTTTTTAAGCCAAAATAAAGTTACAGTTCGGGAGCTCAATGAGCTCCTCCTCCTTTCAATAAGTACCCCTCATTTTAGCAACATTAACGTGACCGGGCGCTCACGCGAGGAAATACGGTAATTGGACGAACAACTTTTCACGCGATACTTAAAGAATAGGGATTCATATTTTCATTGATCGATTTATTAATTATTATCAATCGATGACGTTATTTTAATTTTGAGTTTGGCGTAGTCTGATGTAGCTGGTGTAGTTTGGAGTAGTTTGGTGTGTTTTCTTCAGGATCGGCAGAGTTTGATGTAACAACTAGACCAAAACAAACCCAAAATATGGCAAAGTGCAAACAAATTAAAGATGTTATTTAACTAGTTTTCACAACAACTCCCTACCCAAAGTTTCTTCACATACTTCTCTCCTTAACACTACATAATCCACTCCGAGCTAAACCGGACTACTGTAAAAATGTTACTTAACTACACCAGACTAAACATACTACACCAGACCTATCCAAACTCGAACACTAATCACATTTAGGATAGTTAGAAAAAATATTACGCGCGAATATCATGCAAATCATTTGCTAGCATTTGCTAGTTATGAGGTAAAGATCTTGCTTTTAGATGATAGTATTCGTTAATTCTGCCTTATTGTACTTTTTATACAACACGCCACTATTTTCAAGGAAGAGTCGATGCATACCAAAACAAACTACTCCAACAATGAAGGCCTCACCACAACAAATAACACCACATTACGCCGAATACATTGCAGTTCTACTCTTGACTGCTCTGCTCTTGGACTATTTTTTTAAAGTCTATTTGGGTGACGGTAATTCCAGAAACATTACCGTAATCGGATGATAACATCATTGCGAGTGCAATTTGAGATAACTCAGCCGAACTAAATTCTTCAAAGGTTAACCCAACAAGCATGGGCGAATAGGCATGCACCCGTTGTGATCACCAGACGTGTTCTCAAGCAATGAGCATATGGTGAAATTTTTGCATTTATCACTGTCACAAAGATCATCAAGAGTGGATATCACGGAGACGCTAACCAAGTCTTGTAAAAGATCACAGAAAACATGTAATCAACTTGATGGGGCATGTGAATGTCTCTGAGCGGCGCAACTATGTGCTGCCGTTAAATTATGAAGTCTTTTGGAGGAAATGTGAAGCCAAATGCTCAACTACTTGTGTAAAACGTGATAGAAAATATATTTTCAGACCTGCCACGAATGCAAGTTTTTTTTTAAGAATAAATCCCTGAGGTAGCCTTGAGACTGTACGTAGACAAGCAAAACCTCTGGAGGCACACTAGCAAGTAGTCGAAGATTGGAACCGTAAAGCACGTGCTTTCGCGATTGTTGCTAGATCCTCAAACAAGGTTATTTGTCTTTACGAGTCTTTGCTTCTTCAGCGTTGCACAGAGATAGGCCCCATTACAGTTTCGAGACTTTTGGTTTTATGTAGAGCAGGCCGCTAACAGTGCAGCGGTATTGAATGAATAGATGTCACATATTTCTTACCTCTGGTGGCGTGACAGTTCGTCTGGATTTCCAACATCACTTCATCGCAGGAAATCCCCTCCTTCCAAACTGATACATTAGTTTGCTACCAAGAACAGACAAATTTCCTCTTAAGAGAAGCAACGAAAACAGTGTTTCAATGTTCCTGAATGATACGTTGCGCAATAATGACACATTTTACTGCAGCTGTGATTCTTGACGTGTACTAATTTGACGCACGATTACGCAATTGCAATATTGTGAAATAATTCCGATTATCGGATAAGGTTGAGCTTGATAGCAATAATTATCAAGGCCAACGCTTTGTGTTATCTGCCGAAGGCGAAGGCCGAGGCGGAGAGCACAAACTGAGGCCTTAATAAATTATCGCTATTATGCGAAAACCAAATCCAATAATTGTTTTATTATGCATGTTCCTGAGCTGCNGGAGAACGAGGAACGGGGAACGGGGAACGGGGAACGGGGAACGGGGAACGGGGAACGGGGAACGGGGAACGGGGAACGGGGAACGGGGAACGGGGAACGGGGAACGGGGAACGGGGAACGGGGAACGGGGAACGGGGAACGGGTGTACAGCGGTAACCCACCTGAGAATTCAAAATGGCGGAGTAAAGGGAACTAAAAGGGTCTGACAACTAGTAGTACGTGCTCTTCGAACACGATCGTTGGAGCAAAAAGCATGGACGGTAACTGTAGGTTTTATTGAACGATTTTACTTTGAAATGTTGAGTGCTTCATAAATTTAGTTTTTGTCTGGCACACATTGCAGGTTGCATAGAAATCAAATCCTCGGAGAGGTGAGTAAGATTTGATTCAGGTATATAAAATGGTGAAATATTCACCCTCTCGGCGGGAGTTATTCTAATTGTATTTTTGTGAGCAGCTGGGAAATTTCTCTGCATGCATGAAGAGATTTGATGGCTCCTTTTTGGTGCAGAAGATACAGGACACGTCACACTAGAAAACCACCTCGTCAACTTATTCTAAGGCATTTATCAAGCTAGCATTTTGCTTCTGTTCACATAATTATTTAAGGTTCTCATGGACCTGAACTTTGATGATGGGCTTGAGGTCGAGGCATTAATATTTTATTAAGAGATTGCCTTAAATACCCTGAGGGTCTGACGAAGGGCTAACGCTCTAAACGTCAGCTTATTTATCAACTCATATCATAAATAGACAAAGGTTTTCTCGCATCACGCAAGCGAAGAATTGTATTGAAGTTTCGAAAAAAAATGGCGGACAATTTGAATCATATTTCTGACGACGAAGAGTTGGAATGGCTGGCAAATATAGATCCACGTTTATTAAATGAATCGAAGGACGAAAAACAGCCAAACGACCCGGAAATTTCTTCATTTATTGAAGAAAATAGAGACAACAACACGACAACGCGCTAATTCCGCTCCGCTTCGCATACTTCTGTCACGCACTCCCCGTAAATAGATATCCGCGAAAAATAACAATTTGGCGTGTTGCAAAATGAATAACTTATTATTCGTTTTGTTGTGTAGTACCGCTGAGTATTTTTAATCGTTGTTTGTATCTTGACTCGCCTTATGGGCTCGTCAAAATACGGCACAACTCGTAAAAATACTCAGCGATACTACACAACAAAACGTCTAATAATATATATTAAATATATACTCCCCCACCAAAGGAGCGCCACGTTTTCTCCAGACACTTACCCCCTTTAACAGTCATATAGCACGTAAATGCTGTGAGGGGATTCACTCCTACAGACTAATAAAAGCTACTAGTAAGCGATTCAGTCGAAAATTTTTCTAAAAAGACCAATTAAATTTAGGTCAGACGGATTCTTTTACCTTAGCTCGTAAAGTTTCTAAAGGGATCTAAAATTTGCCTTTAGATATTTATTCCAAAACTTAACGGTTGTTCTTCTTACAAAGAAAAACTTGTTAGAGTAAAAGGCCCGACCTCGTTAAAGTTCGAAAGAGTTGGGTTTCTGCGAGGTTGAAACTGTTATTTAGATCGTATGGAGTCATTAGGGATAAAGGCGATCGGATTGTGTTTAGTTGCTTGAGGCAGAGTTACAAAGGCGAAATACATAGGAAAGTTTTTTGTGGTTCATGCACTCTGATAACTGTGAGTTATTTACTGGTGTATATACTTCTATAGACTCTATAGACTGTACATAAACGCTCTGGGACTGTTGAGAACGACTCAATAAATCCGCGGTTAAACTCAACGTTTTACTTTATTTTGACTAAGAACAGAACCTCCATGGCGAATACTCGACCTACACAAGGCAAGAACTCGAACTAAGTAAAAGTACTTGACATTTGACCCTGTCACTCGTTTTAAAAATACCATACATGTAACGCAACGTCACGTTCTCCTGAAAAGGGAAATGAAAGATCATATGTCAGCCTTGTCAGTTAGAAAAGAAGGGATACTCAGTTATATACCAATAGATACCCTTTCCCAATGAGGCTGTCATGGGCTTGTTGTCTTCTCAAGCCAATGTCTGCAGTGTTTTCATTTTCTAAACAACTTTGTATTTTAGCGAACACCAAAAAAGAATAATAACTATATGCAATAATGATAAATAATAAACATAACCTTAATCTAAGAAAATAAAGATTTCTTTTCTTCTTTAAGCCAAACATTTAAGGGATAGTTCGTTAGATTGCTACATATCAGTCTTGTAAGCCCCTCTGGCTGATGTTTGCTATTTTTCACAAAATTTCCTGATTATACCTAGAAAATCATGGTGTAAGTCGCAGAAATAGAACTAATGTTTGTAAAACATTAACCTGAGTTTGATAGAAATAATAAACCCGAACTCTTCCAGTGTGGCTGCATTATTATACCTGAATCACATTAGTTGTATATAGTAACTTTAGTCATTCTAACAAATATTGTAAATGTTTTCTCGTTGTTATTGACATGTTTTATTATTTTCAAATGCATGCATCTAAATCGAAGAAACCTTATTAAGGAGAATAGCCAGTTCTTGTGTACCCTATGCCTTTGAGTGACTGGGACGCCCAAATCCTTTTTGATATAGCGTTCCATCCTGCTTGTTTGAGATTCTCAGTACACGAAGTCTACACAAATCGGAAACAACACAAAAAATTCAACATTTTCGTATCGTTTAAGACATCGAAGTACAGGGATGGTGTATCTAACTTTGTTTACGAAGAAAAAGACGAAGAAAATGAACCAATTCTTCTGATTGAAGGCGCTTTTTCTCAACGCTTTAAAGACATTTTATAGCCCTCCTGGCTTAAATACTATCCTAACAGAGATTTCTGGAGTTCTTGAAAATAGTTTATATAACTTCAAAAAGTAGTTTTATAAGCCCACGACTCAACATTGACCGCCGTGTTACTTTTCCCAGTCTCTTGTTTAATTCACTTTTAGCGTTCTGTGTATTCCCGGAGGGGATACCGTAAAGAAAAGTGTTTGGATATAGGGGGATACCTAAAACGCAGGGATATTCTAACAGCGCAAATGGCTGTGGGGGATGGGACAAACTGGGACATTACGAGCTTAAGTTTCCTATTTTAGGTACAAAAAGGGAAAATACGACAATCAGGCGTTTATAAAGAACGTTTGTCGGACAATTGGTGGAAAGCTGTAAGTTATTTATCGGAGCCTACCACACCGTTTCATCAGAGCAGAAAGCACAAGTAAGTTATCACTTTAATTATAATTTTACAATCCAGAATGATGTTGCACGACGCCTCGGAAACATTTTTAATATTTTGGCGTGATAAATTATTGTTTAAGATCTCCTATAAAACTTAGTTTCTACATTTTACGAATTAGTGTAAACTTTGGATCGAATATGTTGGAATTAGTAAGAAGTTTGATAAAATCAATGTGGCCGACGACTGAATAGAAAAATCAAGAAACGATGAACTGTATTTTAATATCAAGCCAACAAGCGAAAATCGAAAACTTCTCAGTGATATTGATATTAGCTGGAACGAGTACCCCATTTGATGATAAAAAAATATTTCTAAGCTCAACGCTTCTTCGTTAACGACGTAAATTGCTGGTCGGTTATTTCATCGTTTCGTCTTCGAACTAATGCTCAAACATTGCATTTGTCAAATGTATCTACAAATTTTGATTTAACATGAAAATATTAAAAATTCTGACACTGTTCTGAAATTGGTATAAATAGCATTTACACAACTGTTCACCTTGTATTGTTGTGCCCTTCGAAAGTGGAATATTTCATATATTAGATGCATGAGAAAAATTGTTTTTTTCCCTAAAGCTTTATCCTTGACATTTTTTTGAATCTGAACAACCTCCATGGTGAACACCATTTTAAATGCAAATGTCAACTTAGGATAATACTAAAAGCTTTGACGATTGGGATCTTTTGATTCATGCGATCAGTACTGTCTTAAAAACTGAAACACAAATGAGAAACAAGAATGTTCAACCAGCATTACTCGCCCATGAGAATACGTGTTATCCTTTTGACTAGAAGCCTTCCGGTCCTGAAATTTTTTTATGCGAACCCATCGCAAAACTGATCCCAGATTCCGTGTATTTCATAACAAAATGACGTTAAAATTCGGTAAGGCAGCCTTATAGTTGAACTGAACTGGAGCATTGAGAGCCAACACTGTATTAAAAAAAATAATAAAATAAGGAAGGATATTTATTGGTACACGGGGCATCAACTCCGCTTTCTTGATGCACTGTTTCACATTATGCTCTTAACACGTAAGCTGATGCTCACAAAGAGGGAAGAGTGAATCTTGTTATGATAATTAAAAGTCACTTCCGCCGTTTACTAATAACAATTGGCAAGTTCTATGGATCTCATGTTTTCGAGATCTATGCACGCGGTAAGAAGCAACTTTGTTCACAGGGAAAGAGGTCTGACGAGGGACCAAATGGGCCTTACTGGACCTCGTAGTCGACTACACAACTTGACCGCAAGAAAACAAAGCCTAATAAAATACTTTTTTTTGTCCTCGCTTTAGAAAGGAGTACCGTCCTTCGTCACTATGAGGCTTTAATGTGAAATTTTCCTATCTCCCGGCCAGGTTTGGAAATATTTCAAGCTGAGTCAGTTATTTAATGAAAAAGGGGCAACGTTTACTCCGATATCAATAGGTTGGGTTTTACATCAGACATGTGATCTTGTTCCTCAACCTTCGAAGAGCAGTTTGTTAGTAAACATTTCTGTTTGTTGAATAAAGAACAAACTCAGTTATCCAGGACTTTTCACACGGGGATTGCATTGGTTTTGTTTTACTTTGCTTTGTAATTGGTCCAAAACATACGCAGTAGTCTCTCAACCAATCGGATTCAAAACAAAAAGCTAAACGCGATCGAGTCCATTGCGTTTTCCCGCGCTTTAGACAAGTTGATCTCCTCACCGTGAACTCCCATTGGCTCCTCATGATGATTGCGTTCTGATTGGCACTTTTGGATCATGAGAAGACACACAAGGCTCGCAATTGTATGGAGCTTTTTTAGCGTTAGTCGTGGCGTGGCGGGTGTTATCACTTACGATGCTTGCAAGCATAGTTAATATTTATTCATCTATTAACTATGTTGCAAGGGTCATACGTGACAACACCCGCCACGCTACGACTAATGCTAAAAAAGCACTATACAATTTCTTATAATTTTATCATAAGGAACTGTATCAGTGGAGCTCTCCGAGATACTTACAGTGCAAGCTCTGTGTGTCTTCTCATGAGACTAACGATACTCAATCGAAAAGTACTTTTTGTTTACAAATAAGAACACCGTGCCGACACCCAAAAGACAAATAGAGGATAGTAAAACCCAGGAAATTGGCCTAGTAACAAGGGGAAGGTATTCAAAAGTTTTGAAAATTGTCGAATATGTTAGACCAACTGAAGGATAAAATTAATGCTAGGTTATGGCATCGAAGCCCTGTAGCTCCGCTTGAGGGCTTTGTTTGGTTAGGCCAATATCACGCAAGCATAGATTTGAAAAAATACACTGTTGAGATAACAGGAAATTCTAGTGATCTAATCAGACTATGCGGGTAACTTTTGTCTGATCACCTCCTTTAAACTGAATAAAATAAAAGAGGTAAATATCGACAGTGAAGTCTAGATGGGTAAGTCTTAGATGGGTAATTTTCTGTCTCCGACTGTGTGGGGAAATTTCTCTTGCTGTGAAGAAGGATGTTTTATCGCCATTCGGCATATTCCGATCAATCAGCGTTCATGGGAGAAATCCGTAGCTTTCACTTCAATTTCTAGAAATATCTTATCGACAGGAACTCAGGAAGCAATTTGTAGTGGCGTATTTTTTCCCGAATGCCAGACGTTAGAGAATTTATTAGTCCAGGGTTGCTTTGTTCCATTTCAACGTGCGTCAGAGGCTAAATGGAGTTTCCATAGGAAGTTTGCTTGTTCGTTAACAACCCCCTCATTCCTGGGACTTCCTTTTTGAATAACGATGGGAGATCTTAGCGGGAGTAAAATCTAACAACACTTTTACTGAAGACGTAGGCGAACCATACAGACACATATAAAAAGCCGTCTTTCATCGAGCTGGGTAATGCAATTTATCATCTACTTTATCAGGCTCAGTTTAAGGCTTTCAGTTCAAGAGTGGCTATCAACATCAGCAGAAATTAAACATGATCTAATAGATCTCAGATTTCAAAATAAGTCTATAACCTTCGATAAAGTGTGGTTTGATCCTTAGTAGTAAAAGCAAAGCGTGTAGTCTGATCGCTCGGGTGAGCGTGGTCCATTCTGAAACGTTTAATTTAAGAATAAAGAATTCAAATATTTTTAGTATGCAATTTTGATCCAGTTTAATAATAGTACATCTAGATAGTTTTAACTGAATTCCGTAGACAGTAGGTTCACATCAACCTCTAGCTGCCTTTGATTTAACCTACTATACCAAATAAAGTATGTATGTATGTAGGTAGGTAGGTAGGTAGGTAGGTAGGTAGGTAGGTGGGTAGGTAGGTATGTATGTATGCATGTATGTAGGTAGGTAGGTAGGTAGGTAGGTATGTATGTATGCATGTAGGTAGGTAGGTAGGTATGTATGTATGCATGTATGTAGGTAGGTAGGTAGGTAGGTAGGTATGTATTCATGTATGTAGGTAGGTAGTTAGGTAGGTATGTATTTAGGTAGGTCGGTAGGTAGGTATGTATGTATGCATGTATGTAGGTAGGTAGGTAGGTAGGTTTGTATGTATGCATGTATGTAGGTAGGTAGGTAGGTAGGTAGGTAGGTATGTATGTATGCATGTATGTAGGTAAAAGGAGGAGAGGAGAGTGACTTATAAACTTCCCTTTTGTTCCCCAAATATCGTGCGGGGGTTGTTATATCGGTAAAACAATAGTGAAACCTAATGTAGAAGAGATTACGGCGAAGATGAGACTACCGAAGGCGAATCTTTGTGATAAGTCATTCAAGTCGATGCGCGCTAGCCTAGCGTGATATTGACAACAATTTTGGTGCAGCCGGAAATGCGTCGGTTTCGCTAGTATAAAACCGGTTTCTTAGTTATGAAATGCGTCATTCATTTTAAATTGCTGTTGTGGTAGAAGTTGCTAAACGACTGTACAATATCAAATTTCAAAATAGAACCCAAAAGCAGGAAAAAAGATTGCGAACATTTCAGCAATGCCAACGAGAAAAAAAACAAACAAACAAAAAAAAAAAAAAGTAGGGAGCCAAATCATTCATCTTCAGAACAGAATATCAGAAATTGAGCTACAGTCGACATCCATGCATCTGAACCTAGACTCAACAAGGTATTCTTTATCTGATACAAAAAAATAATTGAACAGGTGAAGCCACAAATGGGAAAAGTTCGTCAGAAATTAGCCACAGAAGAATACAGCAGAATCCGGAGACAATACAAAAAATTATCGTAGAGCAATAGTATTCGCGGCAAATGACATTGCTTCTTATACGAGAGAAATTTCTTAGGTTTATGAGTGAAAGTCAACCACTTAGTCAAAAAGCGCATAGGGTATTTCTTCGTATTTGTCTCGCTCCTTGTGCTTGCTCCGTGTTTGCCTCCGCTAGAAGATGTGTGTAAAAACGCGATAAACCTCTTCAAGAGCGATCAGTAATTAGAAAGTGTATGCGAAAGATAAATTATAAAATAAAAAGGTTGCCATTATAAGAGTACTGATTATTCAATCTGAAGGCAATCTCCAACAGAGACAAAAACACAAATCTCATATAAGACATAAGTTCTACTTTCTTCAGGCTTTGAGCTCCAAATTAAACTCCGAGAAAAAGCCTATTAAGCGTGTCACTGATTCTCACCGACACGATATCAAGCCTAACCAGGCATTTTTGATTCTTAAATTATTTTAATCGCCTTACGTCGAGACATTTTTGGTGAAGCAGAGATTCAAGTAACTCTAATGGCTCTTTCTTCTCTCTTTTTAATTAAACAAATTTGAATATGCATTATTAACAGCTAAGATTTAGTAAGGGTAAGCTGAGATGGCACTTCTTGACTGCAAAACTGAAATTCATAAAAACCTGATCAAATAAGTTTGTCCTTTTCAGATTGAGTTTTTTCGGTAAAAAGACAAACTCGATGTCTCATAGATCAAGATTAACCCGGTCAGTCTCCTAAATCTCTCTTTCGATACCTTGTTCTCTAGATAATTAACTACCTATGTCAAATGGTGGACCCAAATGATTTAAGAGTATACGGCAAGTCGAAAGGAGCAAATAATCGCCAGAACTTAACAGACACCCGATGGTGCAGAAAACGAAATCATTTCGATAAACTGCTAAAACAGGACAGAAAACCTATCGTTCTACTAACCTAATTCTTCCAGTTTGTGCGTTGCTGCAATGGTTTATAAGATCGGAATAAAAAATTTTGAACTCGAAGGCAGACGATTTAATTATTAAAAGAGTGGAAAACTTTGTGAGGATGACGTAGTACGTTATGTACGTCAAGACCTCAATCCATTAATAATTAAATCTCTCTAAGTGAACGCAGGCACCGATGGATCGAAAAATTTATCATTGCGCGTTTTCCCTGTACTCAAATAATTCGCGCGCGATTTTTAGACAACCCGCGAAATTCTGCTGCAAAGATTAAAATAGACCCTCGGCTTCTAGTTGGCGATGAGGAACTAAGTACAGTGCAAGCGAAGGACATGGAGTGTCTCGGTGAGACATTTGACGTTTGCTATTCAATTTCTTCACATGCGAAAGGTCGTGCGAGGTCCACTACTGAATGGAACTCAGAAAACAGCTCACTATTTATAAAGTTTTTTTCAGCTTTGAGAGAGTGTCGCCATTTTTTCCAGTACCGTCAGTGCACCTCTCCGAATGTTATTCAGCCTTTTCCGTTAAACAGCAAAGAAAGTGGAAAGAGGTTAATTATTGAACTTTTTAACTGACGGAAAAGACTTGAGCCCTTCTTTATTTCCTTTTACAGGTTTCTCTGAACGTTTCAATCTTTCGCTTATATTACTTGGCGAGAGAGCGGTTTTTCCTTAATTTCAACCTTTGAAAGTTTGAGCGGGAAATTGGCGCGCAGCTGGCCAGAATTCAGAATTGATCCCCCCGCGCATGCCTGATGTTTGACCGCTGTGTGAGCTCTATTGCCGGCCGTTGTTAAGGATAAGAGCGCGCCCTCCTCATGACGAGCTTTGCCCACCAAAAGAATTTATGCAAATTAGGCTAAGCCGGATTTGAGTTCCGCCTGGCAATTATTAACTGTAAGAGAAGATCTCAGTTCGCGCCCACAGCACGTTCAAGGTGTTGCGGATGAAGTTTCTGTAATTACTTTTTGGCACTTTTCGGCGTCAAAATTGCATAGTTTGGGTAACCCAAAACCCTTAAGCTGACCTTTCTNGGTTACAGGCCGAATTTATTCAGGTCTGATTTTCGCTATTGCATAAATAGCGCTCTCTACTGCGAGGATCGTGCATCATACGAAATAGATTGAAGTGACGAAAAAATATGGTGAACAATTTAAATCATTTTTCTGACGACGAAGAGTCGAGATGGCTAGCGAATATTGATCCAAGTTTATCAGAGAAATCGAACGAAGAGAAGCAGTTACCGCGCCAATTCCGTTCCGCGTCGCATACTTCTGCCACGCGCAATATCCGCGAAATTCGCCCGCACTGAAATAGCAATTTGGCATATTGAACAATAGATATTTTATCATACTTTTTGTCATTTAGTATCGCTGAATATTTTACTCATTGTTTTTATTTTAACTCGCCCTGCGGGCTTATCAAAATACGGCACAACTCGTAAAAATAGTCAGCGATACCACACAACAAAATGTCTAATAAGATATGTGTAGTTACGTGTGCAGTGATTAAAACAAGCGAAAGGAAATCATATTCATGGATAAGTACGAACTTCCTTGCCAGTCTTGTAGTCTGCTGCATCTTTGAGTATCGCTCCTAGCAATATGCAAATTTGATCTCGATATCCAGCTGCCTTCACTCAAGAATAACGCAAGTAACACAAGTTTGTAACGCTACACTTAACAACACTTTTACCTCGGACAGTAAAATACTTTAGCTTTTTGTACATTGTTATTGCTTTTACTTCTAGCACGGGCTCTAATACGCCTTGCCGCCCGAGCGGCAAAGGATCGAAGGAGACGAGCAGACGATGAGCAAATTTTTCGTTCCTATTCTCTTGTCACGCTATAACTCCCTTATTGTTACAATTTAAGTCCACCATAAAATATTTTTCCCTGTGCCACCGTAGAATGTGCTACATCTACCACTGACTCGTTCACGCCAATTTAATTCGAAAAGGCAGCGTAATCAAGGAATGAATAGCTTACAGTGCAGGCGTCTTATTATGGCGGGTTAACGTTAAGACGCGAGCGATCGTTTATTTAACCGGCCATGTTTAATTTGGTGTCAGAGTCGACAGTAGGAGAGAGGGGGGGAAGGGGGCGAGATAACTCTATTTCCCATCCCAGCGTGTCCTTATTTTTGACTGTCACTAACCCTCTTAGTACAGTTCTTTTCTCTCCCCAGTCTTCCGCTGCTATTAAAATCAAAGATGGTGGCCATCAGTTAGCTAAGAAAATACTGAGCACTCGCTCGCCCAAATTACGGCTTCTCTACAGCCAAAGGAATGAAAAGTAATACGGGTTACTGATTATGAAACATATCTGGCTCATTTCAGTTCAAAACTAACCCCTCCCATTCGAAATTTCCTCAGAGAGTTATGATAATTTATCTCGTGTTGATAAGAGAATAATGTTTAATTATGAACCAAAGAAAACAAGGAACAAAAGTGGAATATACGTACTGCTGTTGGACAATTTGGATATATCAACAAAGTTGAAATGGTAAATTGGCCACCGTAATAATTACAAAAGCTGACGTTTCGAGCGTTAGCCCTTCGTCGGAGCGAATGACGAAGGGCTAACGCTCGAAACGTCAGCTTTTGTAATCGTTACGGTGGCCAATTTACCATTTCAACTTTGTTGATATATCCAAATTGTTTCGTTACTCCCACCGACGCAGCCCCAAACAGTTTCTTTCGAAACTATCAGCCTTTATTTATTGCTATTGGACAATGCTTTTTTAGCCAATGAAATCGTTACACGTCATTTCAAAAGGAAAAAAAAAAAAGCTTCAGATTCCCATAACATGAATAAAACATCATCTAAATCGGTTGTTGAACAAAAATATTGGCTTATTCTAGTTTTCGTCTGATCCATACACCAGTAAGAGTGGTCCAGTCGACAGAACCTCGAGGTAAACAACAGTCAGAAATAAGGTAGGGAACAGTACAGTAAAAACGATATTTCCGGTGTGCCTTATTATGGAGAGTTCATAAACTGCCTTGGCTATTTTACGCGCTAGACAAGAATATTGCGGTGAAATTAATGAGGTAAAACTGGAAATTATTTCTATTAAATCGATCAATAAAATTTTGTGAAGGATTATCAAATAGATGATACACCTGCTGTTGATAAATAGCCGAACAGGTACATGTACTTCTCGTCGTAGAGGGGAACGGGAAGGAACGCGGAAGAAAATTATTTATCATCAATTATTCTTAGACTAGTGAAATAAAATAACCTACACATCAAGAGGATGAGTATTTTTCCAAGGCAACCCTTAAACCACGGTTCAGATCAAGTTTTCGAGAGAATCTTACGAAACTGAAGATAAAATGGCACCTTCTTTCTCCTGGTTGACAGTTTAGTTTTATTAAGTGGCAGCAAAAACTACGCTCATCAAGAACTTCCGCTTTTCCAAAACCTATGAGAACCACAATCATGTTGTTATAGGGTCAGCGATTCATAAAACGTTTCTTTATTAGACGAAAGCAAAGGCAAGGATGCTGCCACGCTCTAAGTTATATTTAATTGGTGAGTTCGGACATAGATAGTTTCGAACTTCTCAGTGCGAAAGGTCCAATGGTATCCGTCTGATATATTGAACCCAATCTTTGATTCTCCAGGGCTTGTGGGGAATATGCAGAACAAGCACGAACTGAAATATGGTACGGTAGGCAACTGCCTTGACCGAGAGATTAGAAACTTATCATAAACTATTGATATCAATTGAAAACGAGTCAGGTTACTCCAAACCCTTACGGGTCAACTTTTTCCGATATCTTCGTTTTCTTCGATCAAAGTAATGGACAGGTCCTCTTATCTACGTGGTACATTGTTTGAGCCATCACTCACCAGGGCAATAGGCCATTAATTTTCGAAGTATTAAAATTCTAACATGGCTCAGAGGCTTGGGAGAAAAAAACAAAAATAACTAATTATTCATCCCTCCTGGCCTTGGAGTGAAGCTTGAATTTAGATATATTGAAAATGGCCTAGTCTGTGTAGTTCGAGTCAACGCTTTGTGGCCTCGTGGTCTTTGCACCGACCAAGAGAAAATAATGGCACTTCATTTCCTCTTACATAGATACAGTGATAAACACCTGTTGCTTCAAACTACAATGATTTCAAAGTCGGAATTTGGGCGGTGGTGAAAGGATGATACCAGGATTGTATGTACAAAAATTTCAAAAAAATGTATCCAAGAAAGAGATTATAAAAAGAGTATAACTTTTTAGTAAAATTTTTCCAATGATTGTAGAGATATGCGCGCTCTTACTAGTCGAGGATTGCGTCATTTGTTGCCATAATCACCTCGTTTGTCAATTTTACGCTGGAAGTAAAAACGTGATAAAGGAAAATTCAATTCCAAAGGGTGTAAAATTTGGCGAAATGCTTTTCATAAGAAAGGCAAGAAAGATATTAAGTTTTTGATGACAGAATTAATGAACATTGATGATGTCTAAAACAAACATACGAACAGGCCATATTCTACTGGCGCTTTTGATATTGTAAGTTATTTACAAACAGTAAATATACGTATGATGCACGATCCTCGCAGTAGAGAGCGCTATTTATGCAATAGCGAAAATCAGACCTGAAAAAAATCAGGCCTGTACGGGATTCGAACCACTGACCTCTGCGATAATAGCGCAGCGCTATACCAATTGAGCTAACAAGCCAACTAGGAGCAGGCCGTTAAGTTGATTCGTAATAAACCCGTGATGATAAATC